GTCTGTCAGTGGACAAGGGAGAGGTTACTAGCACTTCAACTTGTCTTTTTTTCCATTTTCCTGCTGTCCGGAAGGCACAGCAGAGCTAGAAGGAGAAATAGGCTTATCAGTCAGAGAGTCCTCCCTAGGTGGAGGGGTCTTTTTCCAGTGAGAAGCATGGGTCCAGGCAGGTAGTCCTTGGCACTTCACAGTGGTGTTGGTGGTTAACAGGACTTGAACAGGGCCTTTCCAGTGTGGAGCCAAAGGAGTCTTTCCTTGATGGACTTTAAGTAGACTCAGTCTTCTTGTTTCAATGAATGGCAGGGCTACTAGGGTTTTTGGGTAGCACTTCTTTTATCTGTGCGAAAATAAACCTAACACATTTTATTAATGCCTGGCAGTGTTTTTCAGATCTCATAGTTGCTTGGGGACATTCAGGCCCCCCCCTTTTCTTGGTTGTCAGCCAAGTCTTAGCTGTAGCAGTGTCCTTGAATGAGGCCAGCATCTTATCTTTAGACTGAGCTTCCTAGCTATTTTTTTCAATTAACTCATTCTGTTCTTTTTCCTTCTCCCCTTTTTGGCTTCTTTTAACCTACAAAGGAAACTTCCACTCTTCACTCATACACCTTTTCCCAACAATGAACACATACACATTGCCATTATACAGTACATTAGTCTTATTATTCAATGTATGCCGTATACACCCTTCCAGTAAAATAACTTCTATACAGAGCTTTGGAGCAACAAACCAGGACAAGCACACCCACTTTTAAGGAGTCCACTTGGTACAACCTCTGGTGTCCAATAGCTTTCCTCCCTCCCCAGCCCTCTGGCTAGAAATCTGAGGTAGCCAGAAGGATCCCATGTGCAATATGGGGAGTGGGTTAACCTTCCATATCCTTGCTTCCAAAGACTGTTGGTATGCAAATTTTAACAACAATTTTACAATTAAAAAAAATCTGGCCAATGAAGTTTCTTTTTCTTACTTAAGCAAATATATTAGACTTTAGTATATCACATTTTCCTGATTTATCCAAACACTTTGTATTCCAAGTGGAATAAAACAAGTATCTGCTTTTTGATTTAACCCTTCTATTTAATTTTGAGATAACGAGGTTAGTTCAATCATGGTGAGGTGCTCTGCTAGCAGTTGAGGTGTGAACACCAAGGGAGGAGAAACTGCTTCTGTAGTTGGAAAGCCATTCACAGTCTTTGTTTAATCCTGATCTGATGGTGTCAAATTTGCAAATGAACTGGAGCTCAGCAGTTTCTCTTTGGAGTCTAGTCCTGAAGTTTTTTTGCTGTAAGATGGCTACCTTAACATCTGCTACTGTGTGGCCAGGGAGGTTGAAGTGTTCTCCTACAGGTTTTTGTATATTTCCATTCCTGATATCTGACTTGTGTCCATTTCTCCTCTTGCGTAGTGACTGTCCAGTTTGGCCAATGTACATAGCAGGGGGGCATTGCTGGCATATGATGGCATATATAACATTGGTGGACGTGCAGGTGAATGAGCCGGTGATGTTGTAGCCGATCTGGTTAGGTCCTGTGATGGTGTTGCTGGTGTAGATATGTGGGCAGAGTTGGCATTGAGGTTTGTTGCATGGGTTGATTCCTGAGTTAGAGTTGTTACGGTGTGGTGCGTGGTTGCTGGTAAGAATATCCTTAAGGTTGGCGGGTTGGCTGTGGGCGAGGACTGGCCTGCCTCCCAAGGTTTGTGAAAGTGAGGGATCATTGTCCAGGATGGGTTGTAGATCACTGATGACGCGTTGGAGAGGTTTAAGCTGAGGACTGTAGGTGATGGCCAGTGGAGTTCTGCTGGTTTCTTTTTTGGGCCTGTCTTGTAGCAGGAGGCTTCTGGGTACACGTCTGGCTCTGTTGATTTGTTTCTTTATTTCCTTGTGTGGGTATCATAGTTTTGAGAATGCTTGGTGAAGATGTTGTAGGTGTTGGTCTCTGTCTGAGGGGTTGAAACAGATGCGATTGTACCTCAGTGCTTGGCTGTAGACAATGGATCGTGTGGTGTGACCGGGTTGGAAGCTGGAGGCATGAAGGTAGGCATAGTGGTCGGTGGGTTTTCGGTATAGGGTGGTGTTAATGTGACCTTCGCTTATTTGTACGGTGGTGTCTAGGAAATGGACCTCCCATGTAGATTGGTCCAGGCTGAGGTTGATGGTGGGGTGGAAGCTGTTGAAATCATGGTGGAATTCTTCCAGGGTCTCCTTCCTATGGGTCCAGATGATGAAGATGTCATCAATGTAGTGTAGGTAGAGAAGGGGCATGAGTGGATGAGAGCTGAGCAAGCATTGTTCCAGGTCAGCCATAAAAATGTTGTCATATTGTGGGGCCATGCGGGTGGCCATAACGGTGCCACTGGTCTGGAGGTATATATTGTCACCAAATTTGAAATAACTGTGCATGAGGATCAAGTCACATAGCTCAGCAATAAGTTGTGCTGTGTCATCATCAGGGATACTGTTCCTGACAGCTTGTATTCCATCTGTGTGTGGGATGTTTGTGTAGAGAGCCTCTACATCCATGGTGGCTAGGATGATGTTTTCTGGGAGGTCACCAATGCATTGTAATTTTCTCAGGAAATCTGTGGTGTCACGGAGATAGCTGGGAGTGCTGGTGGCGTAGGGTCTGAATAGGGAGTCCCCATATCCAGACAGTCCTTCGGTGAGAGTGCCAATGCCCGAGATGATGGGGCGTCCAGGATTTCCAGGTTTGTGGATCTTGGG